AAAAGAAAGGCAAAGTAAAAAGAATAATATTTAAGGATTTGAATCTACACCCAACAAATTTTGTTTTAATACCAAATTTTTTCAAAGACTTCAGGGTATACAACATTTTTGGTATGACTGCAAGGATTTCTATTGTCATCTAAGACTAATATTTTTAATTTTGTCTTTGTCTTCACCCGCGAAACAGCAACATAAAGCTGACCATGAGTGAACACTGACTTGGTTAAAAATAATCCAACAAATGACAATGTTTGACCTTGACTTTTGTTAATAGTCATAGCAAAACATAAGACTATTGGAAATTGTCTTCTCTGGAACTTCAGAGGTAGTCCTGGATCAGACGGTACCAAATTCATCCGGGGTATGTAAACTTTTTCACCCACTCGATTTCCCAAAACTACAATAGCACCAATAACATTCTTTCGCATTTCGTCAACAATTAATCTTGTACCATTACACAATCCAGATGTCTGGTCAATGTTCCTCAGTAACATAATTGGTACCCCTTTTTTTAAAACTATCTTGTGGTTTGGGATTCCCGAACATTTGATATCATTCAAAAACTCAACTGTTATCCAGTCTCCATCAATACCTACATCTGAATCTGCTTGGCATGACGAATCAGAACTCAAGTACACCATTTCATCTCCAGGAATGAGGGATAAGACAAATTCATTTATCATCTCTACAACTTCGAGTGTGGGTGCAAGTAGTGCCCTGTCCTCAAAAAAGAATAACTTTTCATATTCTCCAATAAGTTCGGATAATTAAGTCCACTATACTTTTGAGGGGAGAATTGTTATCTAGAATCAAAAAATCGTGAGGAATTTCAACGTCAGCAGTTCCATCAATCACTTGTCCAAGCTTTCCATCTCCAACTTTGATTATCCAATCAGAAAAATCTTTCGTGTCTCTATCTATGCAAGAGGACGTTGATGAATGCAATCTCATATTCTTCGTCAACTTAAAAACTCTACAATAAGACCACAAATTTGAAGAATTAATGGTTGCACCTACAATTTCCTCTCTCGAAGCTCAGGGTAAAACAGGAAGAATTTGTCTAAAATCACCTCCGAGTACAACCGTTTTCCCTCCAAATGGTTCATTTATTGAGTTTGGATTAGCGAACTTCATTAGATCTCTCATCGTGCGATCCAATGCCTCAAAAGCAAATCTATTCATCATACATGCTTCATCCCATATGATTAAACTTGCCTGTTGAATTAGTTCTGCTTTTGGGCTCCCTTGTTTGATGGCACACGTTGAGCACTCTGTTAGCGCCAAAGGAATTGAAAATCTTGAGTGTGCTGTCCTTCCCTCAGGCAAAAGCAATGCTGCAATCCCACTGGATGCGACATTCAAGACAACTTTACCACTTGATCTTAGAAAAGCAGACAATGATTTCCAAAGAAATGTTTTTCCAGTTCCACCGCAATCATACACAAAAAAGAATCCTCCTTTTCTATCTGTCACAACTTCCATTATTTCATCGTATATCTTCCGCTGATCTTCATTCATCGTAGATAAGTATCCCGTAAGATCAGATGACAACTTTTCTTTATCATAATTCAACTCCTCAACCAACAAATTGTTTTGAAATGTATTGAGTGGGCTGTCATCTGGAAACGGCATACAACTGAACTCCCTCAAAGACCGTCCATTTGAATTAAGCAACTTTTCAATCTCAATCAGACATAAATTCTTTAGGTCTTCTTGAGAAATGATAAGCTCTGAAAAAAGAATCATAAATAATAGAACTTATTTAATTCTACAAAGTATTGAATAAAAATTGTAGGTTTCAAGACAATGCATTATGTAAGGATTAATATGTTAAAACTATTTCTCTATTGAAATACCTTGATTACGCAATAGTCTCCTTCGATCAAATAAAATTCCATCCACCAGGCATTCCCATGATTTTTCCCAAACAATTTGCGGGCGACTCATGGTATTTGTCACTAATAACGTGACGAACAATTTTCTAAGCTGATTCCCAGAACCTAACTCAGCAGCCTCTTTTATACCTTCAATAAATTCCTCTTATATCATCAGCAAGTAACCCCAATGCATCGCATGCCTCCTCGAATGCGTTATACAGAACATTGTTAACTGTCTTCAAGCTTTCATAACTTGTACACCCCTGCCGGACAGTTAATAGTATTCTCAAGTAGTATAACTCTCCTGTTCCTGCAGGCATATATTGTAGGCGGCCTATTGATGGTCTCTGTTTCCTCGGATGCCATTCACGCTCCTTGTTGTTGAACACAAAATGTCTTGGAAATTCTGCATACGTTAAATTTTCCCCCGCTTTGTACTTTGAATTGGCAATCATCCAAGCCTCAAACATTGAATGCTTGTAAAGATTTTGTCTGGAAACATCTTTCAATTTTTGTTGCTCCTTAAAAGTGACAAAGCTATTCTGAATTTTTTACGAGACAAAAAGAGTACATTATAAATAAATTGTTTTAGAAGCAATAAAAATTGTGTTCGGCCCCGTGCATTGCACGGGTTAGATTACCCATAGTTTTACGAGACAAAAAGAGTACATTATAAATAAATTGTTCCAGACTTTTTCTTTAACCAAACTACAATTCTTTAACAAGTCAAAACCAAGCTACAAAGTTATAAATGTTGCCTTACAATCAGCAATAAAGGAACACAAAATGCAGGAGAGTCATCCTTCAAAACTGTTTAAAAAGTGATTCTCCTCTTCTTGGGTTAGAGTTTTATGTGTAGTGATAGAGTTTTTCTCAAATTGGGCCACATATTTTCACACTTTTGCCTTAGGTTGATCTTCCCCAATTAGAAAAAACTCACAACATGGGTCGTTTCTCCCATAAACCGTCTATATCCGACCTTGGTTGTATAGTCTTCATCAATGGCCCCTTTGCCAACACCAACCATCCATCCAAAAAATAATAAAGCTCTATTTGCTACATTCAATTCTAATTTTGCATGTTTTCTGCTAACATAGAAATAGAAATATGTGGATTTTGAATTGAATTCTAATTCCAATTTTTTCCAATTTCACTTTTCAAAATCCATAACACAGGAGAAGAATTTGAAATTCTAAATTTAGAATTGAATTTAATATCAGGTCCTTAATTATACCAAACAAAAAATGGTCAAAAACTCATGTACCCCTAGTGCTTTGAAAAATGTGCAAATACTCTTATGTTTTTAATATTTATTTCTAAAACTCTTATTGTTTTAAAATATTACACCCATACGACCTAGTCATTTCCGGTCATCTTCTAGCAAATAGGGGGCATAACTGCTTATGTTTTCAAACCACATGGGGCAACGGAGTTCATTTCTTATTTTTTTTAAATTTTTTTTGGTTTTTTCCTTTTTAAACTCTTTTTTCATCTCTTTGTTTCCTTTTCTTAGAAAGGTTTTTTATTTTCTTTTCTAATTTTTTTATATTGGTTTTAAAAATTAAAAATTGTTTGTGTTTCAAATTAAAAAAATGTCATCTACTCCATCTATCTCAAATTAATTATTTTCAATTTTTGTTTTCTAGAATAAGAAAAGGAAGTTCAAAAAGGGAAAATTTGGAATAAAAAATAAAAATATGGAAAACAAAATGAAAAAAATGAAACATACAATGTATATTTGTGCGGTTGTGCTGGCTGACCAAATGTCATGTGCCCCAGTAAAAAAAATTCTGGATCGGCCATTGCCGTTCAAACAAAAAACATAACAATGAATACTTCCAAGATCGAAAAGAGAGGTAAATCAACGTTCTAACCCCCCATATATCATACTCCCTTAATTCATATTTAAGTGTTTGATTCACTTTTCGAATTTAAAGTTTGACTAATAATATCTCTTAAAACATTTTAACAACAAATATTAAAAATAATACATTTAAAGTATTTTTCATTTATAAAATATTAAAATAATACTCCCTCCATTCTCAAAAACACTTCCTCTTTCATTTTTTCCACTTCCAACAAAACACTTCCCTTTTCTATTAAAAAACCACTTTTACCCTACCTATCACATCCTACTTTTTCTCTAATAATCTATCCATCACATCTTACTTTTAGCCATCACATCAGGGGCAAAATTAGAAATCAACTATAATTTAACACTTCCTTATTTTTGCCCCAAATCAAAATGGGAAGGGTTTTCCAAAGGGAGGGAGTACTATATTAAAAAAATTAAAAATAATACATTTAAACTATCATACTCCCTTCTTCGGCACTTTTTAATTAAAGTTATACGGAGTAATTAACGGTATGTTGTTGGTTCTAAAAAAACTACATTGTTTCAATTTAATCCAAATAAAAATATCTTCAAAAATAAAAACAAAATACTTCGTATAATTCTTTTTATTTCATCAAAACCCTTAGTAAAAAAAACAAACTCCAATGCAAAATACCGGTTGGACAGTGTATTGAACCGAAAAATAGATTTTTTAAATGATTCTAGTAAATTATATCCCGAACAAAATCGTACCATTTTCAAAGAAGTAAATACTCAAAATACTGAACCAAAGTTTAGGTGATACTCCCTCTGTCCTAAAATTAACTTCTCATTTGACTTTTCACGGTCTCCAATGCGACACTTTGACTATTAATATCTCTATTTTTATATGAATATATATTACAAAAATAACATATTTCAAAACTATGTTTTAAAATGAATCTATTGATAATAAATTTATATGAAAATTCAATATATTTTTTCCGTAATATACGGTCAAAGTTTAAAAAATTTGATTGCAACAGTCAAACTGGGAAATTAATTTTAGGACGGAGGGAGTATTTATTTGGTGTGACTTTCACATACTTAAACTTATATTTTTAAAATTTTATTACCCGGAAGTTTAGGTGATATTTATTTGGTGCACCTTACGTGATGATGTGCTCTTTAAGTGTGTTCAATTAATGCGGTTATTCGTACGGAGTACAAAATTAAGTTAACATCAAAAATGAATTGGAGTAATGCGAGAGTTACAATCATAAAACACAAAATATATATATTTCATTTTTTTAGTCACTATGTTTTTTTTATTTAAAATATTCTTTTCACTTGGTGTGATGTACAAATTACAAGCTTAATTGTGTAGTTTGTGACTCAGATGTTTATGATTTATTTTTAGCATTTCTAGTTTTAATTCTCACTTCTCTTAATCATTATCATCAACGCATACAATTATTGAAAACAGAAAAAAAAAATTAAACATTCATTCATTCTTCTTAGAGTACTGCTGGGTGCATGCTTCAGAATTGGCGGGACGACAATTACCGCGTAGTAAAACAACATAGTAATTATTAATTAAGGGCATTTACGGACGTTGTTGTGGGTTGTGAGAGTGGAATAGCAGGGGCAAGACTCGTAATTTCCAGAAGTTCCAGGTGGCACGCAGTGACACGTGGCGCAGCAGCTCCCGCAAGCCCTCTTGCACAGGTTTGGTCTCTTTGACTTTCCGCACCTTACGCCACAAGCTCCATCGCAATCTGATCCATAATTACACTCATTTCTCATTGCAATGCATACTACTTATCTATCATAAAATTTGTTCATAAAATTGATGGTTATCATCCTCGAACCTAGTTCGTGCCTAATGCAACCATGTACTCTTAAATTTTGTTGGTTTTACTGTCGAATTTTGATTTCAAAACCAACAAAATTTGGGAATTGTAATTCGAGTGTAGTGGTGCGTTAGGAGCGTGCCAAGCTAGAGGTTTAAAAGGACAGGAACCACTAATTCTTTGAACGGAGAACGCACTATGAGTGTCTTAATTGAACCGATGTCATAATATGACATTGGTTATCAATATCGAAAGACGACCGATTCTATGGCCACTGTTTTTCAGTGACATCGGAAGCTACTGCTCCGATTCAGACACTTACGGTACTCCATTTGTAAAATTGATAATTCCTACCCACGGTAAACTTCCCGCCCAATCCCGAATCCAACCCATCCCACCACCCATGTCAATTGTACCCTGAAAGTTTAGTTGACTTTAAATTAAAAATATTTGACAATAAAGTCAGTTAAACTTGAGGGGTGCAATTAACGTGGGTAGGGAATTGGATGTGGATCGGAACTAGACGGGAGATTACCGGAGGATTGGCAGAAACCACTACCAATACAAGTAACTAAATAATTTTCCATTTTTTTCATCACATGCTTTTATATTTTTATACTCCCTCCGTCCTATAATGATCTTCCCAGAGCACTATTCCAACTTCACGGGAATTTATATTTATTTGTGTTTTTTCATGGTCTATATGATAAAATAAAATATTCTTGTCACCACTTGTTTTGTTGAACTTTTGATGTAGTTTTTAAATATGTATGTTTTATTTTTTATTTCTATACCAATATTTAAATAAAATAGATTGAAAAAACTTGGGATTTTTCTTCGTTTTGTGAACCGGGAAGATCATTATAGGACGGATGGAGTATAAAGTACTTGGTAAAAAGTAATCCGAAAATAGTAAGAAAAAACGAATAGAATTTCCTTTAATTACTAAAAAAGAGTGTTTATTTGGTGCATATCAATTTTGTGAACCTTCTCACACAATTTTTTTTATTTAAAAAACAAATGAACTTACTTAAATTAAATAGTAAAGAAACGATTATTTTATTTATATGTAAGTCCATGATAAAACTTAATTTGTCAAAAAAAATACCTATTGCTGGGGATACAGGGCTGCTTGCTGGAGGGATATTGGTCATGTCCACCTGAGCCAGAAACATGGGTTAAAGTGGCTAAACAGAAATAAGATTTTAAGTTAAATTCCATTTTTAAACTTTTTTATGTATATATATATATATATACATAGATCGAGTTGTAGGGAAAATAATTATATAAATACCTGCAGATAGTGATCATGATTTTGGGCATTGGAGAAACGGGCGAGGAAGAGAATGAGAATGAAAGAAGGCAGAGCAAGAAGTGGTTGCAGCAGGGGGGGAGAGTATGCCATGTTTGGCTGATGAGCGCTAGCTATAATAAGAGAAATTAAATAAATGCCACAGCAAGTCGCCATTTATAGTGAAACTAGTCAATGGGTTGGATCGAGAGGGCTTTTCCACACATGGTCAGCTAGTATAGAAGAGGACTGTATGTATGTATGTATGTACAGCTGGCAAATTAAAGTTGCTTGCTTGCTTGCAAGATGGGGTGGGAGCTAGTGGCTTTCCACATTTGTTAATTAATTTAACCTCGTCCTAACTAGGATCTCACAATCACAAAATGCTGATGCACGCCGTATAAAGTGGAGTATAATTTTTTGTCTATAAATGTCAAATCTTTATTTACATCCAAAGAAGAAACTTTAATTAAGTCGTAAGGATAATTTATAATTATATCCATCATATAATTATTATCAATTAAACATGTAGAAGGTCAATAATCAATTAATTAAATAAATGCATGATAACTTAGGGGGTGTTTATTTTTTCTGCAGGAAAATGTCTGCAGTCTGCAGACCACTACTGTAGACATTTGCAGGAGAAGTGGTGGATCGAAGGTCTGCGATCTGCAAAAAGAAGACTGTTTGTTTTTTAATGCCTGTAGACTGCTTTATAAATTAATGGTGGTAGTGTACGGTGGTGGTGTATGGACGATTGTGGTGGTGGTGGTGGACGTTGACGGCGGTGGTGGTGGACGACGGTGGTGATGGACGGTGACGGTGATGGTGGACGGTTGTAGTGGTGGACGGTGGCGGTGGTGGTGGACGACAGTGGCGGTGATGGTGGTGGACGGTGGTGGTGGTGAAAAGAAGTAGAAGAAAAAAATGGAGAAGATGTTAGAAGACATAGGTTAATGTCTTCTCCAAGAAGATGCCAGAAAGACCTTTTTGAGTGAAATGTCTTCCAAAAAACAAACAATCTGCAGAGCTCAGCATCTGCGGGCGTCTGTGCGGTGCAGACAAAAGAGGCCAGAAGCTCTTCTGGCCAAAAAACAAACACCCCCTTAGTATTTTTACACTTGAAATATATATATTCTCTTCCTCCCGAATTAACCGTCATTCTTTCCTCTTCAATCTGTTCTAAAATAATTGTTTCACTTCTTTAGTATTTTTTTCCTAATAAATAAAAGATTATTGTTTCACTTCTTTATTACTCCCTCCGTCCCTAAATATATGTCACACTTGTATTCCCGAGGCAAAATATCTTTTTCAATTCATTTTATTTACATATTGGTATATGTTGGGACTACGCGTGCCCTCACCCCAACCCCGCATTAGTATGATATTGTTTGCTTTGGGCCAAACCCCCACGGATTTGTTTTTGGACACCTCCCAAAAGACCTCATACTAATGGAGTTGGGTGAACCTATATGTTTTGGTTCATTTTACTCAAATAATCAATGAAAACGTAGAAATAAATAAAAGTTTCCACGACTTCTAAAAAAGCAAATGTTACAAATAGTTTGGGACGGAAGGAGTAGCATATTTTGGAATATTTTTTTAACACAAAACAACGTATAATTGGAAAATAAATTGTGACCCCTTTTGATGATGAGTTCTAGGTGGCTGCTCCTCTGTCCTATCCCAAGGGGCCCTGGCCTCAATATAAACAAGAATAGTACTCCCTATCTAATTGTGAAGGACTGTGAGTCTGTCACCGACGTAAACGTTTTGACTTGGGTTTGTATGTTCTTAAGATTGATACGTAAAATGTCAATTTTTTTACATTTTTATAGGTCTACAAGTAATTTTTATCTATTTTATTAAAGACACGTCTCTTTCATAGTGTTTATGCACTAATGTTCATAAAATTAGTGTGAACCTTAGAATCACGTAAGAATTTGCCAAATTTTTTATTGAGACAAAAGAAATTATTAATCTTGTTTCTTTCTTTTTTAATGGTTTATTCTAGTTTTCTATGTCATACTTTGACTTACTATATTTAATAATATATATACTACGTGTCGTTGGAGAAATCATAAAGAAAATTAATTTGAGGAATACTAGGGGTACACCATTTGGTGTACCCTATTTGTCCCCCACCCATTTCTCCACCATATTATTTTATTTTATTTTTATTTATTTATTTTTTTTTATTTTCTTGCCTTTTTTTGTGGTGATGGAGGGGGTGGGGGACAAATGGGATACAAAGGTGTACCCCTAGCATTTTTCAATTAATTTATTTGAGAGTCATGATAACACTTTCAGATTGATTATTTGGACATTCATTCCAATATCAATTGGATAAAATTCAAATTAATGATCAACAACAAATATAAATTATGATAAATATTCAAACTCCTATTATTTCTCTAATAATCTATACATCATATTTTACTTTTACCTATCACATCAATGGCAAAATTAGAAGTCAACTACTACGTACAATTTAACTCTTCCTTATTTTTACACTTTGTCAAATTGGAAACTCTTTTTGAGAATGGAGGGAGTATATTTTTCGATCAAGCATTACCGGGGACTTATATATAGAAGCAGAGAGGGAAAAGAAATGTGGTAGTGTCTATCTTCTAAAGTTCGAGTCTAGTCGTGCGAAAATTCGAAGAGACATTTTTCAAAAGTTCTTTATATCCATTTTCCGAAAATTAAAAATTCATCAAGTGAGTTTTTAGCATCTTGACCCCAGCCAAGGGCTTTGCCTCTTGGAGCTCGCAGAAGCTGCCGCCCCTTGAACCCCACTCTCGAGGGCGCTGCTCCCGAACCCCCACGATGCCCCCTTATAACCCTTGTTAAAACGAGACTTTCATTCTAACAAATTCAACGAAGTTTGCACTCCGCACCATCAAACTTTTTTGATTATTATGATATTATTGGTCAAATAATTATTCTAATTATATTAAAATATATAACACGTGCAAAAAAGATAAATATAGTAGTTCAAGGAAAAAGGAAATTATATTATTTATTTTTATCTAAAGAAAAGTATAAATAACTTATAATGAGTGGGGTTTTGTTGACACTCGCCAACGGTGACACTAGCGGTGTCAGTGAATTTTGGAGCACCTCTGGTGCTCAATTAAAAAACTGATGATTCCCACCCCCTAACTCAATCTCTAAGCCCCGTCATAAGCTCTCCTCCAAATGTGTGACCATTATCTAATGCATAATAGTCACACATTTAAAGAGCGACTTAGGGCAAAATTGGGGTGGGACTTGAGTAGAGATTTAGGGGACTGAGTTAGAGGATAAGAACTATCAATTTTCGGATTGGGTTACTTGAAGTGTTCCAAAATCATCAATGGTATCGTTAGTGTCAGACTGGCAAGTGTCAACCGTGTTCATAACTTGTACATAAAAGAAGTCATCTTTAAAAATTAATTGCGAAGTAACACTCCGCATATACTAATAGGGGCGATGAAAAGAGACGAGCAAATTAGAGGAATCTGCACAAGTTGCAAAATTGAAATACCAGCTGGCACATAATACGCAGACATAAATAATAATAGGGGCCATGAAATGCGAAGCATGCTGTCATGCCGGTTTCACTTAATTAGCTAACGTGATTCCAAGTGTAACTTTAACAGGAGTTCAAAGAGTCATTGTTATACCACGGCACTCACAATCTTGTTATATTATATTATATTATATTATATTATCTATATCCCTAAATAAACTTCTCCTTTCGTTTTTTATCTCCAAATAAACTTTTCTTTTCCCTTAAAAACCCCTTTTACACCTTACTTTTGCATACCCTACCTATCATATCATACCTTTTTACTAATAATCTACATATCACATCTTACCTTTACTCATCACATCAAGGGTATTTTTGGAAAGTCAACACAAAAATATTCCTCCCTTAAATCCTCAAAAAGTCAAAAAAGAAAGTTTATTTAGGGACGTAGGGAGTAACTGTTACATTATTATTACCACTCTCGTTCGTCGCCCTAGGCCACCCGAGTGTCATCGCAGATTGTCGATGATTGACTGGTCATATTCACGTATTACATTATCATTTTTTTCCGTTACATGGTCAACACGTATTCTTACATTACATTATTACTCTACTTCTATTTTGATCTTATGAACAAATTATGAACACGGTTACGTTCTATAGACACTTGCCAATGTACAAGTTATGAACGCGGTCAACACTTGCCATTAAAAATGAAGTGTTCCAAAATCATCAATGGTATCATTAGTATCATTTTTTTCCATTACATGGTCTGTTGGAGTTGTGCCCTGATGGCCAACTGTTTATCGTTATTCTATCATGTATAGGCAGATATAATATGTTTACACATCTCATGCTAATGTAAACAAATATTATATTCCTAAATTTATATTTAAAAGATGTTTGTCAGATAGTGTTTTTCTGCTGATGAGACTAACATCTTGAAATAAATATTTATCTAAATGTCCATAGTCGAGTATTAACGAGAGTGAGATATCGTTAATGCATGTGAGACTAGTGTGTGTTAGATGTTTGACTTAGTCTCATAGTCAATGACGGTGTGTTCGCATCCGCACATGGGCAGATATTATCTAGAGATAATAGGATGCCGGACTGACCCATCCTAAAGATGTTGCTTGAACTTTTAGTTCATGCTCTAAGCATCTTTAGCGCGACCACGGGTGTAACTATCCTTCGACTTAAAGTATTATGTTTTCTGCATATGTGAACCCGCATACTTTGATGCATTGTCCTAAGCCATATGAAATAAGGATGGTATACAGGCTTTGTTTTGGGTATGCCGCAGTGCGTATTCAGAAACGTAGATTACGTACATAGGATTTGTCACTACTCTTTTTTAAAGAGATTAATGTCTTATGGGGCCCACTGATAAGTCATGACTGAGGAAACTGCATGGCCATGCTGAGATGCTTTTATGACGTCTGTTCCTATTAGTCAGACTTGATAAATCAGTGAATGACTTAATGGATACAAGCTGGATTTTATTAATCCCTTGCATTAAGTCTAGACATTGAGACAAAGGGATACAGTTACACGGAGTCTGAGTCGTGGAAAGGTTTTGACGGTGCAAACGTCTTAACTTATAATCTGGGGGCAATAATGTGTTGCTAGATACCGCTTATTGCTTATAGTATTGGTGCAGAGCCAATACTGTGGCCA